AGGTACCAGGAAATCAGTCATGTCAAGTACCACTAAAGGAAGAAGAAGTAGAAAATACAATGCTCAAACAGGTCCTGTGAGATGAAGTAAAGTATGGGATGAAATAGATGGGTTTTAATCTCTGTCAGAACTTGGAAAAGTGATCTGCAGTAGTAATCTTCAGGCAATGATGTTAAAAGTTGGAAGGGTGTTCACCTGGACTCTTAACGGAGCGATAAATTACTCCCGAAATTGCACTTAGAAGGGTAAAATAATCTAGACGAGTGAATTAGTTAAAGAATTAGCTTTAGCGTCTCATATCATATGTACAGCTTACAAATGATTAATAAAGTATATGTAACTAGCCTGACAGAGGGCAAAAAAAAAAAAAAAAATCAAGTTATAATAATAAAAATATAAAATAAAATCTAAATTTTTTAGATAATATATAGTTTTTCTTAGTTTTTTTTTTTATATAATTTAATTTATAATCTTAAAATAGTTTTTTGCAATTATAAGAAAAGTAAAATATTGTTTCTTATAGATAGTTATTCAATAAAATAAACTAAGCCTAATTGTTTAATTAAAGAAAAGATTTAAGTAAATCCTAAAAGTAATTTTCAAGTTGTTTAAAGAAGGCATAAAGACCTTATTAGAATATTTAATTATTAGTGACGTAAGCAATGTGATAATTGAAATCCGTAGATCAGGATCGTTTTATGCAATGGAAAGTAAAGGTGTCTCTCTTGGAGACTCGATGGACATAGATTCGACAGAGAATATCACTACCACACCTGAAGTACAGTCTACTGATACTCCTACTTCTCGAACAAAAAAAAAATCAAAATGGGAATCCGAAAGTGATAAAGAAGAGTCTGAAAGCGAACGTAAGATTAGCAAAAGAAAACGAAATAGAAAAGCATTGAGATCAAGCATTGATTCTGATGAACATAGCTCACAACCGGATCTAACAACCGAGGGAGTTAAAAGGTTGAAAGTATCACAGGATGGACAGAAATCAAAGACTCCCTCAATTTATTCAGGTTCACCCGTTGTCGAACCAACGAATGAAATAATTGAGATTTCCTCTCCATCAGCCAATGTTGAAACATCAACTCCGCAGCCAGACGTAGATAAAATAACTAGTTCCATACCAACTCAAAGGCCGCCTATGATTTCTGGGTGCCGAAGTGTAGATAATTATGAAAAGCTGAATAGGATCGAAGAAGGTGCCTATGGGGTTGTTTTTCGCGCGCGAGATAAGGTCACAGGTGAAATTGTGGCATTGAAAAAATTAAAACTAGACAAGGAAAAAAATGGGTTTCCTATTACTTCTCTACGTGAAGTGGACATTTTACGCTTTTTGCGCCTGGAAAAACATCCAAATATTGTAAATGTTAGGGAGCTTGTAGTCGGCGATACATTAACTCAGTACGTAATGATTAAATACATTCATATTCACTATATTAATATATTAACATCATTATATTTTGATTAACATTACGATTCACGATAGAATCTTTATTGTTATGGATTTTGTCGAACATGATCTGAAAAGTCTAATGGAAGACATGCAAAGTCCGTTCTTACAATCTGAAGTTAAAACGATAATGTTGCAACTCTTATCTGCTGTCGCGAAGTTGCATGACAATTGGATCGTTCATCGCGATTTGAAGACTTCAAATCTACTATTAAATAACCGAGGCCAAATCAAAGTGGCAGATTTTGGTCTGGCAAGAAAGTATGGTAGTCCATTAGGTTCAATGACAGGGTTGGTTGTGACGCTGTGGTACCGGTGAGTGTTTCTTGTTTATCACGTGATATTGGTATCTCGTTAAATGCTGGTTAATAAAATAATATTTTTTATTGAAAGAGCACCAGAGCTATTACTGGGGATTAAAGAATATTCGACCGCTGTAGATATGTGGTCAGTTGGTTGTATATTTGGCGAATTAGTTAATAAGGAACCATTGTTGCCTGGACGTGCGGAGGTTGATCAATTAGACAAGGTATCATTTTTAAATAATTATTAGGATTCCGGTCATTTGGTCCAAGTATATTATTAACAGGTCACTTATGTTTAGATCTTTAAATTGTTAGGAACACCTAATGAGAAGATATGGCCAGGATTTTCAAAGTTGCCTCATGCCAAGAATATACCATATTCTAAGCAATAGTAAGTAAACTTGACATTCTATCGCAATTTATTTTTTATTTTTATTTTTTTTTAAAAAAAAAGACTAGATCCTAATGAATTTTGTTTAATATTTGTTTAGTCACAACACGCTACGGAGTCGATTTACATATTTAACAGAGAACGGTATTAACTTAATGTCAAAATTATTAACCTACGATCCTGCAAAAAGGATCACCGCTGAAGAAGCATTAAAACATCCTTATTTCTTGTATGTCTTGACTTTTGTCCTTTTTTTTTTTTGTCACTAAATATGGTGCATAAATTTGAATCATCGGGATTATAATCACCTTTTACCGTGATTTAAATATTTAGTGAAAGTCCATTACCTAAAGACCCCGAAATGTTCCCAACGTGGCCATCAAAAGGTGGAGGTGAAAGGTAAGTGTTGTGATGATATCTAATTTTGCAATTCTGCAAAAAGTTATTGATTTATTGTTATTATTTTCAGGCGCAAATCTTTCATCAGTCCATCAGCGCCCAAGGCTGCGCATGGGGCAGGGGAGTTGGATGAAGACGATCAAGCATTATTAGGATCTATCTTTGAAAACCAAGGAGGAAATGATTACGGATTTAGACTCAAGGTGTGATCTCATGAAATTCACTTATGAAGGATGATTATTCCGTTGGAAATAAATGAAAGAAGTTAATTAAGGGATATGAAGTAATAAAATTTTGCCGACAAAAATTAATAATATATTTATTGTAATACGTAATAGATTTTGAATTTAAATACTTTGCAAATTGACACGTGATCATTAAACAAGTTGCAATATCCATATTGATACATAGGATTATACAGTATAATTCTATACAATATAATAAAAATGACTAATTGGTGCGCAAATTTAAAATCATAAACTTTGTTTTATTAAATATATTAGTGTAAAATTTTTTATATAAATTAGTTGATTTTACTATTGATCAAAAAAGTAATAATTTGACAAATTAATATTATAAATAAATTATCAATATATTTTTCAATATAATTTGACATGTTAATATATTTTTACTATAATTCGATATAAATAAATTATTAATATAATTTTATTATATAATTTGATATAAATATAGTGTGATAAAAATAGCATCTACTACCATTGGATAGTTATTTTTAGTCATGATCTTCATTCTATTTCCATTTTTATTTATTTATTTATAATTATTTCTTTGATATTCTTTGATATTCTTATTGGTACTTGATTAGCGTAGATCACTTTATCAAATGTAGCACGTGACATAATTTACCGTAGATCAGGCAGCCCAGGAGGCCCAGGAGACCTAGGAGACCCAAGTGGTCCAAGTGGCCCATTTTTACAAGTATATAAGCAGTCATAATTCACTCAAAAGTAGGATAAGTTTGGATATAACTTCATATGACTTTGGAAGTTTAGGAATAACTTCACTTTTCTTTTAAGAGATTGAATATCTTCTTTTGATTTTAGGACTAAAGGAATTGTTCTAGCCTTTTTGATTTATTAATAAACTTGGGTTTTGAGCGAACCATATTTCTTTGGAAACACTTTGTGACACTGTTTAAAGGATTTTTGGTGAATCTCTTTTTAAATATTTCCTTATTATAAACTGTTTCTTTAATTCTTTCTTTAGGAATTGTTCTTTTAAAAACAATTCCACTTAGACACACCGGTCAAATATAAATTTGATCACAGTACATAACAAAATATTGAAAAAGCATAAAAACAATATCATGATTAGAGAATCAAAGTTCAAAAATTCAATATAAAAGACAAAGTTTTATTCATGAATTAGTAAAAGCAAAGGTATATAGTAATAAATTTAGGGAAAAATGGATAGAATCATATTATATTTACAATATTATCATATTAAGAGCATACAAATTAAGAAACATGAAGAATAAAGTACTCAAAAGGGTAGTGAACATTGGTGGATTGAAAAGATATTATAAACAACCAATTTGGAAGCCAAGTATTATTATATAGTTATAGGACATTATATATTATAGGAAAAATAAAAACATTATTAGTATTAGTTATTATGTACTGTATATTCATATTTGTACTAAGTGACTTATTGAATCTATATACATAGCTGTAGATGATCTTGGTTTTCTGGAAATGTAAAAAACCTATAACATATGCCTTCAAGCTAGTCAGCTACATAGTATCAAGTACATAGTAGTGTTTGAAGCTATAATATTCAAAAAAGTCACTTATTTTAGTTATTTTCTTCTTTATTATATCATATTTTATTTATTTAATTATAGTTTCTCT